GAACAACTGTGGCCTGGCACTTCCAAAAGTTTGTTGGTGAGCGATAGAACACAGTCCTTTGCTCCTTCGTAATGATAGCACTAGATGGGTACATCATGTCTGACAAATCGGAAAGACTATGTTTAGATGGCCTTCCTTTAGACGCCTGGTTTACTTCACATCTAATCTAATTTGAATTTGGACGTGGGCCGGCGATTATTTCATTGTAGTTCATACTGGGTCAGCTGAGAGGCTGTCCGGCTTCCTCTGGAAAAAGGCTCTGTTTTTTTCCAGTCTATGGAGGCAGAATGACTTCATTACAGGGATGGTGGAGAACTCCTATTCTCTCTCTCAGCTTGTCTTCCTTCCCCTCCCCTCCTCTCCCCGAACTCGGGGGAATACTTTTGTGTTCCAGAACAATTGTCACTTTTGTCTATGTCTGCTTATGCTGCTCGCTGAAAGCTATCTTGAGTATTTCCCTCTGCTTTGGGAGCATGAACAGATGTCTCTTTCATAGGAATGTGTCTGCTTGGGCTGAGATTTTAAGAGCAGGAGGCAAACGTAGGACTTGGAAAAGGAGATGTCAGGCTGATTGGGGGATCGTGGGCAATGTGCTCCAAAGACTTTTCCAAACTTTTGGGGGGAGAAACAGTCCTTTGCTTTACTTAGAGAGGGAGAGCGAGCAAGAGAGAGGGAGAGCTTTGGGAGGAAAAGACAGCTGTTTGTGTGTATTCCACATTTGCAGCCTAGAAGCACAAACCTGGAGTGCTGAATCTGGCATTCCACAAATAACTACCCTGTTTTTTTGCTTTGAAAAATAAATGAGCATGTTTCTAGCCCTTAAGGGTGCAGAGGTAAACTTGAAAGATGTGTTGGGAATGTGTGAGGAAATCTGAGAAGCAGTACGCCAGTTGTTTGGAGTTTGAATGAGAATTTGCAGAGTATGGGGTGGTTCTGTAACATTCCCTTTTCAGCTTCATTCATAATTCTGCAAACCTCCCCAAGACCCTCCCCCCTTCACTTGTCAATACATACATCTGTCTCCTTTTCCTTTCCTTTCCATTCTGCACTGAGGAACATCTGGCTTTCCAGATGTTCTTGAATGCAAACCCCATGATCCCCCACTATTAGCTGTGCTTGCTAGGGCTTGACAAGAGTTGAAGTTTAGGAACTTTGAAAGTGTCCCTTTTTAAAGGGGAATTCCTGGAATTCTCCACGATTTTTGGAAATTGCAATCTACACTCCCTAATCTGCACACCTGCAGTTGATATAATTTTTTGGAAGGGCACCCTCTATAGATCTTAACAGGCATTGAATGCACGGCTCCTAGGAAGCACCACAGATGATTCTTTTTCTATTAAGAAATCAACAACAGGAACAAAGGCTGGAAAAGCTGATGGTGCAGCAAAGTAACTGGAAAGCCATTTTCTGGAGAGAGAGAGAGAGAGAGAGAAATCTACAGGTATCCAGATTTGGGTTTGTGGGTTGCAATTCCCAGGATTCTTGGAGAATTTGGGGAGTGGCAGTCGAAAAACATGAAAGCGCACATCCCTAGCAGCTTCCTGAGTTCCCGGTGTACAGTGGTGCCTTGCTAGACAGTTACACCGGATGACAGTTTTTTAACTAGACATTGACTTTTTGCGATCGCTAAAGCAATTCACAAAACAGTGATTCTTATGGGGGAATTTCGCTGGACAATGTTTGGTCCCTGCTTCGCAAACCGATTTTCGCTAGACGATGATTTTGACAGCTCCCTCCGCGCTCGCAAAGCAGGTGTTTTCGGGACTTAAGCTTCGCAAGACAGCTATTTAAACAGCTGATCGGCGGTTCGCAAAGCGGCTTTGCTATGGCCGATCTTCGGTAGACAACGACGATTCTTCGCCATTGGAACGCATTAAACAGGTTTCAGTGCATTCCAATGGGGAAATGCTTTTCGCTAGACAATGATGTCGCTAAACAGCGATTTCAGTGGAATGGATTATCATCGTCTAGCGAGGCACCACTTGCAATCCATAATCCATCATGGCAAAAAACAGTTACAGAGATCAGCCTGAGTGATCCAGGCAGAAAGCATCCTGCAAGCAAAGAGCAACAAACCTCACTGCCCTCCAGTCCATGTCGAGCAAAAGATGACTCAAGCTGGGGTACAAAATACTATCTTACTGAGTTAGGAGCTGACGGGTTTTGAGGTCATGCCACTCTGCCAAGGAGCACCGCATGGCCATCCCCTGGCCAGCCCTGGAGGCAAAAGCTGATTTGGGCAGTTGGTTGGGCTAAGGATGCAGTGCCGTGGGGGCATGGCTCTCCCTTCCTCTCCATAAGTGGCTTTCCAGCAAAAATACATGGAAAAAAAGCAGGTGTTGCGGGGGAGGAGGGGGAAGCCAGAAGCACAACAGAAAACAAAATAGCTCCAAAATTGCTAGACTAACCCTGGAATCCATAGCTTCCTAGAAAGACTCGCTGGGTGGTTTTTATTAAGCCTGGTTGGAAGCACTGCAGAAAGACTGTAACTTACACAAAGACTTGCACGTGTGTTTTCAGAGGGTGACACTCAGAAAATAGGATTTAAGTCTTATCTTCTCCCCCTTCTTTTTCTCCCTTTCCCTCCAGGACACAAGGGAGCAACCCCACCTTCGACAAGTCAACGAGGGCTGCGGTTCGGGTGCTGAAGTGGGGGGTCCTGCCTCTGCCCTGGGTCCCAGTAGGAGCGAAGACATGGGCGAATCTGCCCCACTGGATCTGGATGCGATAGAGATCTCGGTCCCACCCTGCGTGGAGGAGGAGGGCAGCTGCCAGCCACTGCCGGAGCTGTTAGTCACCCCGACAAATGCATCACGGCCACCGGAGGATGCAGACAGCGCCGAGTCTTCCTGCAGAAGTAAAAGTACAGCCTCCGGACACCACAAAGAGGAAGAGGAGGTGCTGGCCTCTGCCGTTGGCTGTGGGGCACCGTCAGAGGCAAGCTGCAGGAACCAGCGCTCGGGTGCTGTTTCTGATATTGCTGCCGGCCTCCCTTCCTCTGGAAATGCAAACGAGGAAGCTGGCATGACCTCTCCTGTGGAGCCAGGTGACCCGTGTGAAAGCAGCCGTTTGCCCCCGGAGGCACCGCACGCTGAAGCGGGACCGGCTGAAAGTGCCACCGAGCCTTCCGCTTCCTCGGAGGATGGCACGGTAGAGATGGGGCAAGGCGAATGCAAGAGCTGTACTGGAGCTGTGGACGTGGCTGCCATAGCCCACCAGTGTGTGGTGCGTGGGGAGGAGGAGGAGGAGGAGGAGGAGGAAGTCAAGCCCCCGGGAAGCAAAGGTGGGGAACCCTTATCCTCTACTGGTGCAGCACCGGCAGCTCTGGCTGTCTCCTTGCACGGAGAGGTGAGTGCCGTTGCTGCCTGCAAAGCTCCGGATCCTGGTGGACCTGAGCGTGCCGCAGATCTCCAAGGTGATGGACATAGAACTGTCAGTCCTGTTGAAGGTGAAAAGAGCCAACAGAGTGGACCAGAGGCTCCCAGCGCTGGTAAAAAAGATGATTTAAGTAATTATCCAGAGGATTCTGAGCCACTGTTAAAGCAGTTGCCAGCCGTAGCTCCGAGCTCTGGAACAGAACAAGCGACTTTGAACTTGGTGGGCTCGTTGGAAGGTTCTCCAAAGCCTGACCTGGTGGGGAAAGGGGACGGTGAGGGACAACGGAAGAAAGATGCGGAGGTGGGTGCGCAGGTCCGTGCTTTGGACTCAAGTGACGGCGTGCGGAACTCTCCGTCAGAGGACAGCGTGGAAGGTGGTAGGCTGAGTCAAATGCCCATCACAGAGCCCAGTGGGGGCTGTGCCAGTGATAACAGGGCAGAGAGCAGCGCTGGCGTGCACAGCGAGCAAACAGCCTCCGAGCTGGCAGCATCAGGAACTGAAACCGCCCATGGAGGAAGTGTCGGTGCTGCTGTTGCTCCGAGCTGTTCTCATAAACAGGGAGCTGATGTACGGTGTCGCTGTTCTGAACCAAGCCCCAGTTGCGCCGGTGCCTCTGAAGCACTTCCTTGCCCCCTCAGCCCTGGAGGCTCATCCCTCGCTGAAGCAGAAGCCGTTGGCTGGCCCGTGGAGACAGCGGCATGCCAGGGGAAGTTGGACCGATTTAGCAAAAGTGCCCAGGAGTTCATTGCGGTGGCTTCTGCCTTGATTGTGGAAGATGCTATTCAGCAAGCTTGGCAGGCGCTCGCTCGGGAGGATAAGATCGGAGCGGCCCCTGTCGGCCAGGAGGCATCTCCGCACTCCGAAGGCCTCGTCCTGCCTTCCTGTGCCAAGGGCACCCAGTGTGTGCAGGATAATGAGACGGGCACACCCTCTGCTGTTCATAATAAAGAATCTAAACAAAACCAGGAAGTAGCAGCAGCGGCGGCAGCAACAGCCGAGGCCACAGAGCAGGCTGGAGCGACTCAGGGGGAAAACCCTGCAGGCAGTGAGCGACCGACGGAGAGGACCTCTTTGGTGGATCACCAGGAGAACCCCAGTGAGAACGGCACATTCTCCCAGCTGCCTGAAAGCAGGCGCGAGCAGGTGGGCAGAGGGGCGGCTTTGTTAGAGGGCCTGCCAGCGGCAGCTGTTGTGCAATTGCCAGCTCAGGATCCGGGCAAGGAGTGCCGAAGGGATGAAGGGAATGCCGCGGCTGGGTTAGAAGGAGAAGCTTTTATCCTTGCAGCTGATGAGAACCGGAAGGTGGGTGAAACCGGGGATGGTCCTCCAGGGGCCGGGCGGGTGGAGGTTGCCCCTCAGGGTGCCAAGGAAGCCCTTTTTCCTGATGCCGTGGTGATCCCTGGACTTGAGCCCAACTCCTCCACTCACATCATCTCTCCTCCGGGCACCGTTTCTGATTTCATGGAAGCCCCTTTGATCAGTCACGAGCTACCCATGGGAGCCACCCTCTTGCGGGAAGGGGAGGAGGTGGAAAATGTGCCTTCCCGGACACCCCTCCAGCCGATTGCCGAAGAACCCCCGTGCGACTGTGATTCCGGCTCGGAAACGTTCCTCTTAGCCTGCGAGGATAAAGCTGGGTCTGAGGTCGAAGCGGTCCTGCTGGCTGAGCCCAGTGAGAACAATGGAGCGGGGAGCCAAGCCGAGCCAGAACGGCAGGATTTGGCAGCCGGCCTCTCTTCTGCTGCCGAGCTGACGGACGAAACGGAGGGGGAAGGTTCCGTTTCAGAAGTGGATGGCATCTTGGTGGGTCCCGCTGATGAGGGAGTGAAAAACCCTGACCGAGCGATGTTGGTAGCAGAAGCGAGCGACCCCTTGGCGTCTCTGCCTGAAAGTCGTGTGGAAATCACCCCCTTAACGGAGTCCGTGCCCAAGGCTCACCAGTTAGCAGATGCCAGACCAGTCGCTGTCGGAGAAGCGGATTTAGATTTTCAACCTGATGGATTGTTGGAGAAGGTGGCAGACCGAGGACCGGCGGGCTCTTCACCTGTCGCAGGTAAGCAGAATTAGGCTTAGTTGAGGATTTCTTTCTGCATATCAGTTTCCCTTAGAGGAGAGATGAGCTTTAAGCCATGGGACAAGCACTGGGAGAGTCCGAGGGAGCTGAATTGAAGTGTTTGAAATCCTGGAAAACAAAGATGGAGGTGAGGGGCAGGGGACAGAGAGCATGAGATGGACACTGGTTCTTAATCTTTGGCCTCCTTGAATTCTAGTTCCAAGAATCACTCAACACCGAACACATTGTCTGATCCTTCAGGGAGATGAAGCCCAGGACTTTTGCTGTCAAGCATTCCTTGTTTCTCTCATTGGGTTCTCCACTGCCCTTCTTTTATCTCTCTCTCTCCCTCTGCTGAAATCGAGACTGTATGCTTTTAAGGTCGAGACCTGCCTCTTTCTCCTTCCTTGTTTCTCTCATTGGGTTCTCCACTTCCCTTCTTTTATCTCTCTCTCTGTCCCTCTGCTGAAATCGAGACTGTATGCTCTTAAGGTCGAGACCTGCCTCTTTCTCTTTCTGCCTTCCTCTTTGTATGCCTGAGCCCCATGGCTCTGTGCAAATGTACTCTCGTGACGCTGTATAAACGAGTTGATGAGAGTAAGAATCCAACAGTATAAGATGAGGGGTTGTGGATCAGGAGTGCCTTGCATAGGCTTTTTGTTGTGTTTTTTTCCTCCTGCAACAGGTGCCTCCTTCTCTGCTTGCGCAGAAGTGGAGAGCACAGCAGCTGTGTGTACAAGCTTTTCCTGTACTTATGTGCTCAGGTTCTAAAAGCATCCTTCTAAATTGAGCCAGCATGTTTCCAAATGTACTTTTAGGTCACAGAAAGAGAGAGAGAGAGGGAGAGGAAGGGAGTTAGAGGCAAGTTCTTTTCCTTGTTCTCCCTCCCAGTTTTACATTTCCGAAACTCTTGAGATCGGCAGCTCCCCTCTCCAACACATTCCAGAGTTTGCATGGATTCAAGCCTTTATTTCCGACTTGACAAAACAAAGGGCGGAAGGCAGATTTGGGCTGATGAGCTGCATCGACAGGAGTGAACTTGACTGCATCAGGACAGACCGGTTGGACGCCTTCTTAAACCATTTTGCCTCCTGCTGCCATAGGAGTTTATAGATGTGTTGTGTGTGTGTGTGTTTTCCCAAGGTAAAAGAGAGAGAGAGAGGGAGGGAAGTCTTGTGTGTGTGATCTGAGCTGAAATCCTAGAGGCAGAATTTGTAGCAATCCATAATGATAGTTGTAGTGCAGGATTTTATGGGCCCACCTGCTCCGACAGCTGTTAAAACGTAAACAGCTGATCTTTGCTCTCTTCCTCACCCAGCTCTCTGCTGACATTATGCTGTTTGCCCTGAGGAATCGCAGGTGTAATGCATCCCCACCTCTAGGAAAGTTTGATTTGCATCAAATTAGTAGCAGCAAATTTAGCACAAGCTAGAATGGTAAGCTCTCCACCCCCAGAAAAAGAAGCACAACAAACTACATATTAATATTATTTGTAGTGTGTGCATGCATGAAATAACAGCTGGTCCCCCTCCCTATTTTGAATCACAAATAGAGGCGTAATATTGACTGGCTTTGCTAGTGACTTGGGACCATGCGGACAAATGTAAACCTTTATTTATTTATTTTGCAAACCTTCGTTCTGAAAGAACAGCCTTTATCCCGGAAAACCTGGCTGGCATCGTAGGGCTCCCGCTTGGCATGAATCAGCATTTAACAAGCTCCATTTTATTTTTGCGCTGTATGTCAGCTTGATCTTTCAATAGCAAGGGAGTGGCTGTAAGGTGATACGGCTCCATTGCCTTCCAGATTTGAGCAGCGGGGCATCTAAATTTATTCCCTTCCTTCTCCTTCCATCGCTGGAACATTTGTTCAAGATTGCGGAGATGAACTGTGTTGATAAGAACTAGAAAAGGGTGGTAGGGTTAAGGGACGCCACAGATTAGCAGTGTTCAACTTATTCCCCAGATGTCGGAGGGCGGCTTTTAATGTCGTTTAAAGAAAACTCGCCAGTTAGCTTAAAGAAGTTTAGCAGGGGCATCTTGGCAAGTGTTTTCTCCCCCATATTTGGAGTTTCTTAGAAACGGGGATTTCTGGCCATCGGGTAGATTTAATTGGCAGCTGAACAAAGAAAGCTCTTCGGCATCAAAACACCTTCATCAAGGAGCTGCTGATCAGAGGAGGCAGGATGTCAAAAAGCTGAAGGGTGCAGGTGAGAAACTGGAGATGGGAAACCTGTAATTAGATATACTTCCTGCTGTGCATCTGCCATAAATTTGATGCTGGAACTAGACTGTGTTTGTGTGGTGTGTGTGTGAGTAAGTGAGAGAGAGAGAGAGGGTGGAAGAGAGCTCTCACCTGGCCACAGTTTTATCAGTACTCTTTGGGGATAGATTCTGGGCAACGGGAGAAAACAAGCCGAGAGGTTAAGCAAATGCCCTCTCAACCAGCAGGCGTTCCCCCTAGCCAACAGAGAGGGCCGGAGAGAGCAAGAAAGGACCTAGGACTTAACAAGTAACTGACGTTATGACTTGCCAGTAACTGCAAGATGTACGACCAGCCTTTTCCTTGGTTGCTTATAGAGGGTAGGAGGGCTCTCCAGGAGAGAAATGGGGTGAGTCGTAGAGGATAATGGTTGGTTTCCCTGAGCCGTCTGGTGTGCCGAGCATAGGTGTGACTGACAGGTGTCCCTTCTGTGGTTGAGATCAGTTTTGTTTGCTCGCTTGTTTGCTCCCTGCCATCGGTCTCAATTAGGATAGGGACCTCTTTTCTATGTAGTATCTGAGCTGCTAATGCATTACTTCTATAAGGAGGACAGGGGACAGTTTAGGGTTCACAGAGTTCAGGTGACGAGAATCGAGATTGTGTTTTGTATCTGATCCCCCCTCACCCTATAAAATGGCATGTTGTACTTGCTTCTGTACTCAGTGGCCCTTGAGTGATTGGGCTCTCTGTCTGCCCACTGACTCACCCACCCACCCGTCCGTCTTATCTCTCAGTCTATCCGTTTGTTAATTCATCCATCCAACTCAAAAACAGATCTCAAAAAAACTTCAGGTCTGCTCTTACCCAAGGGCAGGATTCAGTCACGAAAGTGGTGGTTCCAGTTTGCTCTTTCCTCATGAGAGACAAGCTCCTGGGTGGAGAGAGGTCTAGTGTAGAGAGAGGGGAACATGTAGCCCACCCAGTATTGCTGGACCGTAACAGCTGTGATCCCTCCCTGTTGATTCTGCCAGCTGCAGCTGATGGGATTCAGTGGAGCAACAACATCTGGAGGGCCCCATTCTTCCCCAATCCCACCCTAGGCAGTCTCACCCTTTAAAACAGTGGTCCCCAACCTTGGGCCTCCAGATGTTCCCACAACTGCCCCAGAAGCCATCACCACCACCTCTGCTGGCCAAGATTTCTGGAAGTTGAAGTCCAGGAACATCTGGAGGCCCAAGGTTGGGGACCACTGCTTTAAAAAGCCAGCTGAGCTGGTGCTGAGTCTCGTGTTGTGTTCATATGACTTTGAATTGCAGAGGTTGAGGGCAGAAACAGACCTTTCTGCATTTCTGATCTTCCTGTTGGACAATTCCACTCTGCTGATTGTAGGTTCTCCTAGGACTGGGGAGGGGGAATTTTGGCTTCTCTCCTTGCTGGTTTATAGTTCTTTAATTCGGTCTCCTGTTTACTCAGCCCAGCCCAGCTCGTTTGTGTTTTTTCTTTCCTTCCAGAAATAAACTCAAGATGCCAAGATACTTTGCCCTTTCCTCTTGTGGACTGGGCCCTTGATTGCAAGTAATTAAAAAAAAGTGTGTGTATTTTCTAGGTGTGATAAACTTTGATATGGGTCAGAATATGCGTGGGTGAGGCTCCTTGGAGAGGTGAGGTCCTTGATAGTACTCCTTAGGCCTTTTTCTCTCTCTCTCTTCACCCCTTCTCTCAAATTTGTGCTGCAGGGCCTGCCCCACAAAGCACACCTGCATTAGTTGTCCAGCGCTAGAGCTGAACTTGACTTTGCTTGCCAAAACGTGCTTTATTCATCTCCTTCCTGCAACGCTCACCACCTGAGTTTGCAGAGAAGACCCGCTGTTCCATAAAACCAAACACCGCATTCTTTCTCGACTGCCCCTCTGCCATGCTGAGACCTGAGCGAGGGTTTTGCAAATCCCTTGATGACTGCATATATTTAATTCTTGCTGTTGTTGATAAGCTGTTAAAGCAGTGTTCCCCAACCTTTTTTGGACCACGGACCGGTTGAGGGGTATGGACTCCATGCGCGGACCGGTTCGGGGGTGGGGGCTCCCCTTGCGCTAACGGGTGGGTGTGTTGAGATTGTGCACATGAGTGGCACACCCCTCATGCTCATGCGTGACACGCCCACCTCTTGGGTGAGTGGGGGAGACACAGGCTTGCAAGGGAGAGCGGTGGGCTGTCAGGGGTGCGCGGAGCCCTCCTCGCTTTGCCCCATCGCCCTGCACTCCCAGCCGACAGAGCCCAGGAAAAAGCCAAGAGCGCAAGGGGTTCCCCCGCCCCCAAACCATTCCGCGCATGGAGTCCATACCCCTCAAATGGTCCGTGGTCCGAAAAAGGTTGGGGAACACTGCTCTACTGCAATGGTAGACCCCAATTTTGGGTCCCCAGATATTCTTGGACCAAAACTCCTGGAGGTTTGTGCCACTAGCTATGCTGGCCAGGTTTTCTGGGAGTTGTAGTCCAAGAACATCTGGAGACGCAAGGTTGGGAAGCACTGGTCTATTGGTTCTTCTACTAGCAACTGTGATTTTTCCCCCCTCAACCAGATTTCATTTCCAAGGGGATTTTGAGAGGAACTAAATGGTAGCCAGAGGTCTTTGTCCTTTGGGGGAAGCTCATGTGAATCTTTCAAAGGAAGAGTCAACGGAACGGCCACCTTTCCTAAATGCGAAAGTGGAACTCACACAGTTCCTCTGCAACTCCTTTTCTTTTCGCTCCTTCCCCCACAGTCTCAGGATCAAAATTTCTCCTCTCCTCTCCTCTCCATCTTCTTGTCCCTCGGTGCAGCTGTGGGGCCAAGAACCAAACTGTTTTAAGACACAACATAAAATGAACCATAGAAGGTGGTGGAGGCATAAGATGCCTGAGCAGTTGGAAAAGGACGAGAAGAGGTACGTATGAAGAATGCACTCCATGAATGAGAAGGAAACCTATTTGAGTGAGCAAAGATACATCAGCGGTGCTGCGTGCAAAGGGGGAAGTTTGTCAGAAACCACATGATGTTTCTCTTTCTGTCTCGGCAGACACTCTAGAGATGAAGACAGAGGAGGAGGTGGATGCTTCGAAGGACCCGGCTGATGCTGCCGCCACCTCAGAGGGAACGGTAAGATGGTTCTTCAAATTCATTGCTCCAGTTTTGCATGCTGACCCCTTGACCATACATGCCCACCGTGTGAAATGAAGAGACTAATTCTCATTTTTCTTTTATATGGAGCATGCCAGCCTTTTGGTTGTTGGTTGTTGTTTTTTAATCCTCCCCTTCTGCTTATGCTCTTGTGAAAAACGTGATCATTTTCAAATAAAATCTTTGTTGGTTTTTCTTCCTGTCAGCTTCATGACGGAAGCGGCTGATTCCACTGGTCTAGTTTGGATCAGTTGATTCAGAGCTGCGGGCTGTGTCCTTCCTCTCCATTTGTGGATAGTGCCATTGTTGGTTTCTCCATGCCATTTTGGTTTTCAGCGATTTGTTGAATATGCTAGACGGAGAAACTAGCCTAGTCTAGAGGATATTGAGAAGTGAATGGAGACTTAAGAGAGGAATATACTAACTTTTTGAGTCTTGTTTTGGGCTTGCTTTTTCCCTCTTCCGCCACATGGTGTGTACTACAGATGGCAACTGGAAGTCGGTGGCCATGGTCTCCTCCCGGACTCCATGTAGTCCTGGATCTTTGTATTAGTTCCTAAGATTTTCTCTCTCTGAGATATGCCTCTTCGATCACTCTTCCCTCCTATGCTAATAGCTGCTGAGGTTCTTTCAGGGTTCCCTCTGTGTACAGGAGGTGACTTGTTACTGAAGAAGGACCTTCATCCGTCTATCCCAGTATTGCCAGTTCTATTGCCAAGAGCAGTGGCTCTCCAGATTTTTGTGGCTTGTCCCATCTGGAGATATAAGGGATTGAACCTGGCACCTTTTGCATGGAAACTGTATGCTGTGCTCCTGAACTGCGACCCCTTGTCTTATGCTAAGGGAATAAAAACAGATATATGTAGGAGAAGCTTGTCAAGCTTTGTCTTACGATGATCCCACTGGAATAGAGACGCTTCAAGTACTCATAGTCCATGACAAGAGTTCCCATGGAAATGAATCATAGTGTTGCTGGCCTTTTGTCTCCTGCTCAGTTTTAAACATTTGTTGTGGTTGCATGCTGACAGGTCACTTCCAACGTAGGTGACCCTATTAATGAATAAAAGTTCTTGCCATGAACTTTAGTTTTCCTCTTTTCCTTCTGCTGTCAACTTTTCCCAGCATTATTGTCTTCTCCGGCAAGCTTGGCTGTCTCATGATGTGCCCAGCGTGTGATGGGCTCCCTTTTTGCTTCTAGGGGTAGTTGAAACATTTAATATTCTTTTAAAAAACAAGGTGGTGATTAGGAATCTATATTCTTCATCTTGGATTTGGGAGTTCTAGGGTCTGACGCATCTTGGCCATAAGGGGAAGAACGGGTAGAAATGGCTAAGTCTTGGCATGCCTTGTGAGCTATTCTTGTCAGGCTTTTTCATTGTATCTGGCCTGCTGTCACTAGTGTTTATGGCACCCGGCGAGAATGAATCATGAGTTATGGGCACACAATTGCAGCCTCACTCTCCCCGGGCGTTTCCAGGACTGACCCTTCCTGTAGCTGCTTTGCTTCTGGGCCTTCACAGTGGAAGCAAATGGAAGGGCTGGTGTCATCCTGTTTCTGGAAGGGGACAGATTTGACTGGTTGGCACATACTGTAACTCTGGATCGGTCCCCAAGAAAGGAGATGAAGAATGCCTTTCCAGGAGACAAAGCTGCTGATGGATTGGGTGTCATCCTGCCCAGGAAATTCTTTGAAGGTGTGTGATGCAGCCACCTTGCTAACGGTTAGGGGTTGTCCTCGTCCTGGATAGAAAACGTCTTGGTTTCCCTTCGCGTGCCACCTGGAAGGTCACGGTGGGGCGAAAACAGGTTAGGAATCTAATGCAGTAAACAAAATGAAGCAAAAGCGTGGTGGTAGCACCACTATTTTCTCTTTGTTCTTTTTAAGAGGGAAAAGACAGAGAAGGAAGGGGTTAGAAGATACAGAGGAAGAAGGTTGACATTGAGAAACGGAAGGACGGTTATATGTGCTTTCCCTTTGTTTTAAGGCATGGCCTCCAAGTTGAACATTATTGGTCATCGCAGTTCTCCAGCGGTTCTGCACTCAAGCACTTATCCGGTCTAATGTCTCTCAGGCCAGATAGATGCTGGGCCACTGTACTGAAATTATGGTTGCCGATGAAGCTTGAAGATGCTCCATAGAGGTCCTCCTGCCTCTGTGTCCCTGATGATGAGACTTTCTCCCCCTTTGTGAAGCGCGCTGGGTGCTTCCAAAATTAACAACAGCTCCGTTCCAGTGAATTCTCGGAATTAAGCCACGACCGACATGCCCAGGGCTATTTCTGCAAACTGTAGGGTAAAAAAGGAGCTTTTTTTCCCTCCTCTGCATTTCAAATCCAGAGCCCAGAATAGGGAGCTCCCAGTTCCTCCGTCCACACCCAGACCCAGTCCAAGCCAGGGAGAGCCTCCACATCGTGTGGCAGTGAATTCCTCAAGTGTCGTTATGCGCTGTGTCGTGTGGCAAAGTCCTTCTTGGTGAAGACGAGGGAAACCTGAGGAAGAGGTGGCGAGGCTGCCTCTCGGCGTACGCCGAGTGACCGGCTGGTTGTGGGAGCAGTCATTGTTCCTGCACTTTGCGTTATGATTAAGCAGGGCAGGCCATAATAAGAAACATGATGAAGGCGAGGTCGTTTGTTCGAGGGTGGTGCCCAAAAAGCCCGGCTGTCGTGGGTGGTGCACCTCAGCAAGATCACACCAGTGGAATAAAGGCTTTGTAATCTCTGTGTAATCTCCCGGAGTTTTTAGTCCCCTTCCCCAAGCTGGCAGCCTTCAAATGTGTTGAAATTGCTTCCTTCCCGGCCAGCCTGGCCCTTCGTCCTGGGGACTGCAATAGCATTTTATTTGCTTTCTCCGTAGGCCTTCGCAAGATAAATATAAAATTTACCAAGGCATAAAATCAGCCTATTAAAATCGTAATAACAAATACATATACATCAGATGCATACAGTATGCCTGTGCCAAAATTAGACCAGTAGATCTATTAAAAATTACTGTTTTAAAAGTATATAAGGTTTAATTTTAATTGCTGCTGCTAAAAATTTAGCTCACTGTACCGTCCCATCTATTAAAAATTACTGTTTTAAAAGTATGTAAGGTTTAGTTTTAATTGCTGCTGCTAAAAATGTAGGTCACTGTATCGTCCCCTGTTTATCTCAGTCTGCAAGAAGAAAAGATGAATTAGGTCTTTGCTGTTTATCTCAGTCTGCAAGGAGAAAAGATAAGTAGAAATCAGATGGACGACCCTAACAGGGGGTGAATTAACTCTTTGCGCACCTCTCTATAGAAAGAGCAAAGCAATAGCTGACGGGCAGGTGTCTCAACCCCTTTGCCTCATGGGCGTGTGCAAATTTGTCATGGGATTCCTTGGAAATGACCCTCGGGTTGTGCTGAAGGCATGACATTAAGTCGTACGCATGAAGAGGCCCTTCTGCATGCAGATAATTGTGCCCTTGTTTTTTGGACGACCTATCGTGGAGCAATACATATCATGGAGCAGTCGTTCCAAGGACATGATTTATTGGTGGCTGACCAATTTTTTTAAATGTTTCAATATTGTATATAGGTACAACTCTATTAGATATTTTTTTTTGCTTTGCTGTACCCAGGGTCAGCAAGAGATCAGGTGACAGTCCAAGAGTTTGTACTTTGGACTTGATATCTCTCATCCATTTGTTCTCACGACAGCCGCCCATAACAAGGGAGGGCAGACTGGAGAAGACGAGATTCAGTCCTGAGCCAGGCCTGTCTATGCACAGAGCAAAGGCCACATTCCAGCCTCCAAGATGCATGTATACAACACAGCTATTATGGGGATGATGGAAGCTGTTGTTGTCGAACACCTTGAAAATGCCAATGTGGAAGGAGCTGGTGTTCCATGCTTGCTAGGTGATGGTTCTGCAGTTGCTGCAAAAATGGGTTGATTTTTGCTCCAAAAATGCATTTGGACTTATTTTCATTTTATTTTTTTCATGTACAACCATCTACATTTATTCAAATACAGTCCTGTCATCTTCTGGTTGCTGCACAAGGGTGGAGGGCGGGGTTTGCACTTAACTGGGGATTATTTTGGGGGTAGGGCTTATATGACGAGCCTCCTGAAAAATCATGCTAGGTCTTATTTTCAGGTTAGGTCCTATTTTAGGGAAAACAGGGTACCTCTTATTAATGATCTCTCCCCAAACTGTCTTAGAAATCAGCACTGAAATACATTGCTCTGCTTTTGCTTAGTTTGCTTAAAGGGGTGAAAGCCTTTAGCTTTGCAATGCAAAGGACACAATTACCATATTTTTCCATGTATAAGATGCGCCCCCCACTTTTCTAATCCAAAATTAAGAAATCTAAGTGGGGCTTAGCAAGTGCAGGGGGGAAATGGAACAAAGTTGCATTCCCCTCCACTTGTTTTTGTTCTCTCCTCAGCTTATTTCCGCGTATAAGACGACCCTCAATTTTTAGTCGAAAGATTTTAGACAAAAGTATAGTCTTATACATGGTAAAATAAGGTATACCACCCATGGTAGAGCGTCCCTTCCCTTTATTTACCTGCAGAGGGGGACTAAGCATTTCCTCCGCCTTGACATTGCTTTCTTTTTGTCTCAAGTTCCCTTTAAATCTCCTGTTATCTGGGATGGGGTTGGGAAGGCCAAGGCCCATGGAAAGTTTGCTGCAGGGCTGGTAACCACAGTTTCCTATAACTAAGTTTGCTGGAAAGGCAGCTAAAAACACTTGCCCACACGCAGCCAGCAAACCGCTTTGCACTGTATTAACCTCACTGAAAATTTGCTGAAGTCTGTTGAGCTCTTTGACACCGCTGCACTCTGGAACACATAAAAATATATGTATTTTGGCATCTCCTGAGCACCTGATATATACATTATGGACAGAAAGTGACAGAAAGAGAATTTTTTACAGCCTCAAGCAGCAGTACAAACGAGTACGTTCCAGATCCCAGGACGATGCGGCTAATTCTTTAAAACGTATATTTA